TCTGTCTATCTTTGTTTTGTGTGTATTTGTTTCTGTATCTTGGTCTGTCTGGTTATCGGTCTATCTTTCTCTATCTATCTTGCTCCTTTTGCGTGTCTAATCTTTCGATCTATCTAGCTAAACTATCTATCCATCTGCCTCCATCGGCCTCCATCTCTCTTTCTCGCTCGCTCTCTCTCTCTCTCTCTCTCTCTCTCTCTCTCTCTCTCTCTCTCTCTCTCTCTCTCTCTCTCTCTCTCTCTCTCTCTCTCTCTCTCTCTCTCTCTCTCTCTCTCTCTCTTCTCTCTCTCTCTCTTCTCTCTCTCTCTCTCTCTCTTCTCTCTCTCTCTCTCTCTCTTCTTCTCTCTCTCTCTCACTCTCTCTCTCTCTTTCTCTCTCTCTCTCTCTCTCTCTCTCTCTCTCTCTCTCTCTCTCTCTCTCTCTCTCTCTCTCTCTCTCTCTCTCTCTCTCTCTCTCTCTCTCTCTCTCTCTCACTCCTTCGCTATCTATCTATCTAAACTATCGATCAATCGCTCTAGCTATCTAGCCTTCTATCTGTCTCTATCTCTCCCTCTCTCTCTCCCTCTCCCTCTCTCTCCCTCTCTCCCTCTCTGTCTCTGTCTCCCTTTGCCTTTCTATTTTTCTTCAGAATCTATCTGCCGATCTGGTTATCTGCGAAAACTATTTATCTGCCTGTCCCTATCCGTATGTATCAAATCTATCTATCTGTCGGTTTTGGTCTGTCTGTCTATTTATCTATCTGTCTAGCTAGCTATCTACCTGTCTAAACGAATCTGCCTCTCTAATTGTCCATCTGTCTACGTATCTTTGTATCCATCCATCCAACCATCCAACCATCCAACCATCCAACCATCCAACCACCCAACCATCCAACCATCCAACCATCCATCCATCCATCCCTCCATCCCTCCATCCCTCCATCCCTCCATCCCTCCATCCCTCCATCCCTCCACCCCTCCACCCCTCCACCCCTCCATCCCTCCATCCATCCCTCCATCCCTCCATCCATCCCTCCATCCATCCATCCATCCATCCATTCACCTGTCCGTCCGTCCGTCCATCCATCCGTCCATCCATCCATCCATCGAGCCATGCAATCATGTAATCATTCATCAATGCATGCATCCATCCATTCATCTATCTGTCTGTCTGTCTCTCTACTGTCTATCTACATCCCTATCTTTCTTTGTTTCCATATATATGTATCTCTCTCTCTCTCTCTCTCTCCCTCTGATTTCCCTCTTTTTATCTAGCTACCTATCCATCTATCGGTCAGTCTATCTAGCTACAGTCTTTACTGCCTAAACCCGAAGACCACAGTTTGTAACATAAGTAGTCAACCTATTCAGCACACTGAATTCAGACATTCCAAACACGGTCCCGAGGATTCGGATTCCAAGGACCCGGAAGAATGGACCCGAATCTAACAAATCCGAGTATGGGCAGCTGGGCTTCTGAGGGCTCAGCGGTCGCACTGCCGGGAGACGTGCATTCGATAGAGACCCTGCCGGATGTCCTGGTCCCAGCTGACCCAGCTGAAAGAGTCCTTTACAATCTGAACGGAAAAGAGCCCTCGAGAAATAGAGGTGAAGCTTCAGGGTCCAAGTAGTCCTAATTTCCGTGGAGGTTCCAGCGTTGAGGCGGGGTTCAATGGGGTGCAAGTGTAGGGTTTATTGTTTGGGATTTCGGGTTAGGGGGGGGGTTAAAGTAGGTTTCAAGGATTTTCGAGTTTAGGGTTGAGAGCAAGGCTCAAACCATTGCCAGTAGTGTTCCTTGTCGGTCCTGTCCGGCCTGCGACCTATTCGCACTCAGGGTCCATGTACCCCAAAAGTAGGGTTTAGGGCCCAAACAAAATCCATATTCTGAATGGTGGACATTGAGAAACCTTACTATTTGGGCACTTGGACCCTGAGGGAAAGATACTGACTGATGTCCTTAGAATAGGGAGGAGAGCACCCTGAACCCCAAACCCTAACCCCTACACCCTACCTATAGTCTCCATTGTAGTTCCCTTTTGGGGTTACCTTATAGAATTCCACTTACAATATTGGCTAAACCAAGAAAGGAACTACGATGGAGACTGTAGGTAAACCCTAAACCCTATAAACCCTAAGCCCCTAGACCCTGAAGTTGAAGTCTAAACCGTAAGCGTGCGGACACGTCGTCAGCGCGCAAAAGGACAAGCAGATGCCTCGAACCGGGGGTGGTCTCGGCGGGTTCCCGTCTGAAACCTGCGTTCTTGTTAAGAGGTTTAGATTAAGTTATCATAACTAATGAGGCACCCATAACTATTACTATACCCTAAACCCCAAACCCTAAATCCGTTGATGGTATACTCTCTTAATTAACAAGAACACAAGAACGAGGCGACGAGTGCTTCGAGTCCAAGAGTCTGGACCTGAGATCTTTAGTCAAGGAATAATTCTTGAAATCATGGTATCTTATAGTAGGTTCTAGTATGTTACGTTGTATCATAGTATTCTGATAATATGTTATACCTTGGCCCCAAAGTACCCATATAGACTACTGTAAGGCCAATGTATATACGGGGTACATGGTCCCTTAGGGCTTTAGTTAAGGGATATACCTGCAATCATCGTGATATATAGTAAGTGTGAGTATGTCACGGTGTATCATAGCATAGTATTGTATAGTATAGTTTAGTGTAGTATATTGGGTACCCAGATCTTTCTAAATCCCAAAGAGAAGAAATGTTTACTTTGAGTCATAATAGGCTCCTAATATGATTGAAGGTATATTCCCTAATTTATTCAGGGATTTTGCGGGATCTGGTGCCGCAAAGCCTTAATTCCTAAAGTCGGGTTAGAGTTGTTAGGGTTAATTAAACCCTAAACCCAACGGCCCTAAACCCTAATCCCGCCGATAATCTTCAATCTTGAATCTTCATCAAAGCCCTGGAGCCAACTCTAAAGACAGTGCCCGGTTCATCTGGAGTCGGTGCAGTCGTCGCCGTGGATACTTGATCGGGTGTTGTTCTGGAGTGCCAGGGTCCCTTGCCACAGTGCATTTGCGGGGATTGAGGCTATGATTAGGTTTATGAGTTTGCGGAGTAGGGCCCTGCTGGCACAGGGATAATTTTCGTTTGGCCGACATGCGAGAGTTTTCATGCATCTTGTTCCAGGAGCACAGGCAGAGGTTCTTTGTTCGTAGCAACCATCATCTGCACATCTTCTTAGGTCAAGGTTGCTGTAGTTCCGCTATCTTGGCAGCTGAAGAGTTTCACGATTGCTGGGCGAGGGATCCGATCGTCATGCTCGAGTTCTACAAAAGACCAGGGATGTGTTTCCTGACTGGCCAGACACGGTTCCCCAACTAGTACGCTCTTGCAGCATACAGCTCAGGCTTTTACCCCTTGGTATCTAGATTCGTTAGATCCTTACTATTACTACTCAATCCAAAACCCCCCACCCTAAACCCTCAGCACTAGGCCTTAGTTATGTGGGTGGTTGTCCCAATCAGGGTCCCTTTTGGGGGTACCCTAAATATTAGGTGCCGTATTATAATATGGACCCGAAGAGGGACCCGAATTTTGACAACCACCCATGTGTGTGTGTGTATGTGTATATATATATATATATATATATATATATATGTGCAAATGCATGTATACATATATAAATATACATATATACAATATATATATATACATATATATATACACACATGTATAGATCTGTATATCTATACATATATATACATATATACAGATGTGTAGGCATATATACATATATAGAGCGAGAGGGGAGGAGACACACACACACACACAAACGCGCACGCACACACACACACACACACACACACACACACACACACACACAAACACACACACACACACACATGGGGAGCCGTTGTGCTGAGCGATCTGGCTTTCCATGCCTGGCGACGGCCACTGGGACACCGATGTGTCCCTGTAGATCCAGATCTTCCCAAACGCACCCAACAGTACTCTAGGGGCTTCTTATACAGGTGCTACAAGTGGGGGAAGATCTGCACGCACCCACTATTGTGGAATCAGTGTTAGCAAGTACGGTCGATAGAGTAGGGCTTAGGCTTTGTAGGGTGAGATTTCTGGAAGCCCGATCCCACAATACTGCTGATGGACCGGACGGACCATATGTTGAACTCATGCCGACTGAAAAGCGAGATGGTTGAACTGGCTAGGCCCTTTACCGGAGCTAGTTTCTGGAATTTGTTCCCTAAACCCTTTCAAGACTCTAGGTGAGGTTCGGGGCATGCTGCAGATAGTTCTCCGGGCCCGTATCCTGAATGCTCGACACCGAACCTTGTCGACTGCAACACCTGACATTCCACTAAAGCTAGGCCCATCGGAACTCAAAAAAGAATGTGCAATTGGGCGTTTTACTGTATTGTCCGAGTAAATCTTGTTGCAGCCCCTATGTAGCAACTATGTATGCGAGGTTTTCGTAACCCCAAGTTGAACCCCATACAACCATATGTTATATAGACACACACATGCACATGCACTTCTATACATGCATGCGTTGAAAATGCCTTCGAATACAACAAACAGACATCTATGTGCGTGCATATATACATATGTGCACACACACAGAGTTTTCTGCACGCCAATACATCCCGTACATCCCTACTTTTATCACGCCGCATGCTACTTAGGGGTCGAGGCTGGGCTGCAGTTGAATCCTGTGCCTTCTCCCTTTAGCGGGTGAGAAATAGGTCTCCACACCCAGTTTGTGCGGCTTCCGGCTTAGGACCCCGAAAATCCGATTCCCCATAACGGTTTAGGGTTTAGGGTTAAGAACTAAACCTGCCACCAAGCCCGGAGGACTTGCTCAGCACCGGGGGGTCAGATGCTCCTGTCCTGCACTGGCATGTGTTTGAAGCAGTGGAACCCTGCTCCCAAAACACACGCCTAACTTCCCTAAACCCTAAACCCCTAAACTCCCCAAACCCTGAACTCCTAAACCCCAAACTCCTTCTCCGAAAGCAAAAGCGAGGCCATGCTCGCACTTCTGGCCAAGCGGCGTCAAGAAGTAACCTGGGCCTTGCTGGCAACCGTGCCGCCCATCAGACTAGCCCCAAACGGGAGGGTTTAGGGTTTAAGGGGAGTTTCGGAAATGGAGGAATCTATATACATAAGACTAGGTAGATGTATGTATATGTTCAGATCTAGATGTATATCTAGATGCATACACATATATGTACACAATACATCCATCCATCCATCCATCCATCCATGCATGCATGCATATATATATATATATAGAGAGAGAGAGAGAGAGAGAGAGAGAGAGAGAGAGAGAGAGAGAGAGAGAGAGAGAGAGAGAGAGAGAGAGAGAGAGAGAGAGAGAGAGAGAGAGAGAGAGAGAGAGAGAGCGAGGGAGGGAGGGAGGGAGGGAGGGAGGGAGCCACCCAAAAAGTTAACGAGCCAGTCTAGTACCGCCCCAAACCCTAGTACCTCACTGTGGCGGGGCAGTTCGGCCCTTAGGGAACATTGTCGTGCGATCCTGCGTTCACAGCAAGCAGATACCTGTGGCTACAACTACCCACCGCCGTACCCATTATAGTGAAGCAGGTGTGTCATTAAGTGCACGTACCTGCTGAATCTTCCAGAAACAAATCCTAAGCTGCTGGAAGCTTTATGTCGTCGCCGAGGGTTTGGCTGGCAGGTTGGCGCAGTAGCGTCTGGTCTTGAATACCGGAACGCGCACTTCAATATTGCTTATTTCAGGGCTGCTTGCATGATACTCACTGGTATTTCTAGTGTCTCACACTAAGACCGTCGGACTGTTCCAAAATGAGATCGCCCGGCACGAATGTGTTTAATTAAGCTTGGGGCAGGGGTTGCTTGCGTCGCTTTAGATTCCTGCCCAGACTACCCAGCTCTTTGCATCCCTTGCGTGTAGACTCTCATTGTATTCGAACTGACGGGAGCAGAATACCTGCGCACCTGCCTGCCTACGCACGTGCCCGCCTACCCACCTACCGACCTACCTACCTGCATGCCTACCTACCGACCTACCCACACACACACACACCACCGACCTACCATGCATTTCGAGGACAGAGCGATGGAGAGAGTCTCTGAGTCTGTGTGTGTGTGCAGAGGGGGAGGGAAAGGGAGACGGACAACCAAAAATGGAGAACAACACAAGAACCCCATTGTAATTCAACTGAAGCCTGGAGCTGTCAGCACTTCATGACACCCTCAACCATCCCTAAATCCCACACCTTCAGCCGTAACCCCTGTTCCCCCAAACCTCTTAATTATTCTTGCCCCAAAACTTTGTACCCCTACCTGGACACCACACAAGCATTCCTTTTTTAATGACTTGTATAAGGAAATCATTGGTGGCTTGATTATAGGGTGCATGCAGCCCTACTCCTCAGAGGTCCGCCAACCTGGAGAATGCCCAAGCCCGCGGCTACACCAGGCGTCCACAGGGCCCCTTCGGAGTTCGGGTCTGTCTAGCCATTCGGGTTTGGATTCCTCAGTCTACAAGACAAGAGTGATACAGCTTGAGAAGCATTTTAAGACACGGTTCTCACTCTCAGGCTTCACGGTTTTGGACTCTGGGTTCAGGGTTTAGGATGTAGGATTGAGGGTCTAGGGTTCTTCATTTGTTTTGGTAACTCTAATCTTCAACCAAGGGCGAAAGCAGACCCTGCAAGCGTGTGGGCTGTAAGTCAGTTTTTCGTTGATCAAGAGTTTCTCCAGGCTGCTAGCTATGTGGTAATGCAGCTTTCTCGCATCTCCCGCCCCAGGGGGTCGTGTTGTTTGTTTTCGTACGTGTGTGTGTATGTGCTGCGTGTCACGAAAAGTGCTCGACTCCCACTTTGTATAATCGCCTCCCTAAGCGATTGTAGGACCTGGTTTATACGAAGGTCCAGTATGATTTTCACTCCTAAATGCTACATCAACCCGAGTACTTGACCTTTGGGCTCAACGATATAGTACGGTTTGTGAATTCCCCAAAATATGTGCCCTTAGAGGTTTATTATGAATCCTTTGAGCAGCCTGCGGGAAACACTGAATCCTATCTCCGAAACCGTCAAGTCTAAGTACTTCACTATTTTCGCTGCCTACTTGGAAACGGGGGCACAGGAAGCAGCAAGTGCTGCAGATGCTTCTTGCCGAGGTGAAGAAGGCCCCGCCACTACCCCAACTCCTGAAGTTTTACACCGGTAGAGGAGCTAGTGTCAGGGGGTACCCAGGGTTTCAGAAGTTGAAGGTTTACATAAGATTGTTTGTGCCTTTCAGCCCCGGTAGTGGATGGATAATGCAACCCCTGAAGCCTAAATTTTCCAAAGGATTGCAACTGGGGTCTAGGGCTCCGGCACCGGCCAGGGGCTCAAACTACGGTACCTCCGTTGTGGGATACTTTTGGGTGAACCATGGGACCAGAGACATCACCTCAAATATGCCTTCGGCAATCCCAACTGCAATTAATTAGACGGCAAGGATCTATAGCAGCGCTTAGGGTTTAGGGTTTAGGGACCCTGAACCCTAGACCCCGATAAGGCCTGGGACCTGCTTCTTGAGATTCGGAGCTTCACAGGTTTGTGGAGAGCTGCCTTGCGGCGGCTGAGGGCTTAAGGTTTCAGGTGGCATGCAGTCGCAGTTGATTATAGATGACATACTCTTTGGGAGTGACCGTGCGTGACTCTCCATTATCCAGTCCGTAGATAAATAGTGAAACAAATCAGCAAATGATCAGTGTATGTATGTTTGTTGTATATTAAATATAGATACACATACATACGCACATACATACATACATACATACATACATACATACATACGTACATATATATATATATATATGTATATGTATATGTATGTATGTGTGTATATATATATGCAAGCAGGCATACGTACATGCTTACATATATACATATATACATAGATATGAATGTACATATATATATATATACATTCATACATACATGTACCTACCTACCCACATACATACACACCCACAAACAAACAAACACGCCTACATGCATGCATCATACTCACATACATACAGACTTACTTACAGACAGGCACACAGACAGCCAGCCAGCCAGGCAAGCAGACAGGCAGACAGACACACATGCATACAGATGTTCGGACTTGACTAGTCTGAACGAAAACTGAACTTGATTTTCCATGTGCATGTGTACTGGGGCTGCAAGCTATGACGATCCCAAGTACGAGACGGTATACCCCAAACTATCAGATTTTACAGTCTATGGACCCCGCAGGTGCTAGGTCCAATCCCAACCAAAAGCCACAGCCTCAAATACCAGGTTACCAATAGCATTCTTTATGTGGTTCCTGAATTATGATACTCAAACTATCAAGAAGCCCAGAACCATATTCATATGATTAAGGCCCCTGCATTACCAGGTTCTTGCGAGCCAGCAGCCGACTCCACAGACTGTGCCGCTGCCCATGCCGCCCTTGGATGCGTGTCTCGGACGAATCCTAACCCCATGCTCTAGGGTTTAGGGTTTAGGGACTTCAACCTCTGTTGTGGTCCGTGTGAAGCCTTGCAACCCGAAGCCGAGGTATCAAAACGATAATTTATGGCTTGCTGTGGAAACTTCTTAAAGGAGTGACCCTGGCCACCATGCCTTGAAGCCTAAACAACAGCAAGTTGCCCGAGTTTGGAAATTTTGAAGTTCCCTCATTGGACTTGCATGGACCCCTAGCTATGAAACATGCCTGCGAGCTGCTGAAACTGAAACGTAGTAAACCTTTCAAGATATCTGATAAAGCAAGTGGCCCAAAATCAGTAGAAACAACCCAAACCCCTAAACTAAACCCTAAATACCTAGCCTGAAACTCACCTCGTTATCCAGATCTCCGCTTTGGCGCGGTGACAAGGGCGCCTCACGCCGACTGCTCTACGCAACTATGGCTGCACATTTGGGTGTAGAGTTTGTCTATCAGGTGATGACATGGTTTACTGGGTTTTGGCACGAGGCCTCTTTACTTGTTGCGCTTCTTTCTCAAGGGGCAGGATCTTTGCAGCGCAAGTAATTGGATCGTGCTCTCTAGCTTCAATATTGGAGATTTCTATGTTCTGAGACTCCCACATGCGGTGGCTTCTGCAGGACGGTTTAGGGTTCAGGGTTTAGGATCACCTAGAGGCTCATACCCTACCCTTTTGTAGCATACCTAGTTTTAAGGTTAGGATCTGTTGAGGAACCCCTTAAGCCTATAAGTTGGTTTCACGGTTTCGGGTTTAAGGTTTAGGGCTTTAGGGGTTAGGAGTTTGCTTCAGGGATCTATTAGGGGTTTAGGGTTTGAGGGTTCAGGGTTCAGGGGTTTAGGGGTTTCGGGTTTAGGAGTTAAGGGGTGAGGGTTTCGTGCTTGGGATGCTCCGGATCTGGGTGTATCCGAGCCACGGTTTAGGGTTTAGGGTTTCGGGATCAGCTAATGATCTGTTTAGGGTTACCCTAACATTCCGTAACAAGTAGGTATTCAAGACTTTACACGTCTTTACACCCAAGTTGGGCATACTCCGAGCCCTAACCCCTAAACGTCCGGGTTGTCTCCTCGACGAGGCCAGGATTTGAGATCTTGCGTGAGTCAATCGCTAAGCCGGATGGGTAGTACCCTGTTGCCCTTTTTCTTTCTGGGGTGCCCTGATTAAAACCAAATAGTAGGAACAAGTTGGGTTAGGAGTTACGGGTTTAAAGTAAAAGCCAGAAAGTTGGAATATGATTATCCTAAACCCTTTATGGTAAATTATAAGGTATCCTACCCTGAAACCATATTCCAACTTTCTGGAGTTCCCCTTAGGGTTCAGGGTTGGTGTAGCCACACCGCAACGTGAACAAAGGTCAATCTGCCCCCCCTCTGCCATCAACTTAGGGAGCAGAGTTTTGGGGTTTAGGCTTTGGGGTTTTGGGATTTGGGGGTTTAGGGTTTAGGGTTTAGGGTTTAGGGGTTTGGGGTTTAGGGTTTTGGGTTTTGGGGGTTTTGGGTTCAGTGTTGGGCGCCGAACCGCTAAACACTAAACCCTGAATCTGGGTATTCGGGCTTCAATTCAGGTTTCGGGCTTTCGCTCGAAGGTAGCTGGGTCAGGTAGAGCTGAGTTTGTTTGTCCGAGCAAGCCCTATGGCCTTACCCTAACGCTCCATGTAACTATATAGTGTATACTTAGGGCCCAACGGCTCTTAGATGGGTACTTCTAGGGCGGCCTGGGCACAAAACCCTTTGTGGGCAAAAGGATATACGAAATGCCTGTTTTGGGGGCAAACGTATATACCATTTGGGCACATGGACCCTTAGGGAAATGGGTATATGGCCCAGGCGGTCACGACGCTCCTGGAGACACAAGGCAAGGCCTTGTGAGTGCGGGGGTGTTGGGCGGCTCGAGGGTGCAGGCAATTGGCGAGCCTTGGGATGGAGGTTGCCTAAAACCAGTCTCCATTGTAGTGTCATCTTTTGGTTTCACAATATCTTTATCGAGGATCCTATAAGGTAACCCCACAATTGAATTACAATGGGGACTATATGGGTACGCTGCATGTGACACAGCCAACAGCCAACCTCTGGTTTCTAGTTTTATGGTCATACACTAAGATCTGTAAAGAAGCTTCTATTGAGCCCCCAAACCCGACCTTAAGCGCAAGACAGCAGCGCTCGTAGTCTTGTGGACGACTTACAGTTTTCACGGTTTTCTTGGGTATCTGTCAGTGCAGGTGTTTGGGTTCTGAGTAATGAAAGTGCTTCGAGGCTAGCTGTATGAAACTCATACGGGTTGAGAGATACGGTGCCACTAGCTATGGAGACTTCTGCCTGCCTCCATTTACAGCTTGCCTTCAAGCTGCCCATGGACATCCACGTAGTGTCTCGAAGCATGATAGAGGCTCAGAAGGGTGCGGAATCAGCCGAAGAAGCGAAAACCATCCCCTGAAGCACGCACTGGCAGGCTATGCCATTTGTGACCACTTCGCTTCACCCGAGGATGTTCCGCGGCGCTCGCAGATCTAAATTCCAATTACAAGCCCGGATCGTTTATGGTGCCATTTTTTTGTCCCCGCATTCAAAGAGTATAGACATTAAACCCGGAAGGCAGCGACAAGCAAGTCGTTGGGCGGCCTCAGTACGTACAAGCGAGTGGGTGGACCTTGGAGAATCCATTGTAATCCTGACCCCAGCAAACCTTCAAATCTAGCATGAGAGTCGCTGAAGCTTGTGAACTTACTGATTCCGAAAGCTCGAACGACCCAAACTTTCGAACCAAAACAAGTGCCTGAAGTCCCGAATTTTCGTGGCCCAGGAACGCCCCAAAGTGTCACTGCTCGAAGAAAAGATCCCCAGTTAACAGAGGCAGATATCACGTCTCTAGATCCTAACAAGAAGCGTGACGGAATGCTCCTCAAATCCTAAAATGAGCCCAGGAGTCTTGCGGGTGCTGTCCAATGATTGAGGTGTTATATCCTTCCATGGTTGGTAGGGCTTGGTGATACCAGTGTGGATCAGGGCTGGCAGGCTTTTGGCTGCGTCCCAGGTGCGACTTCTCGCTGAGGAGCTGGCTGCCTACGACAAGGATTTCGAGACTGCCAAGATATGGGTGGGAAAACAGGCCTTCCATTGGAGTGGTCCAAGTTTGCGGGTGTTTCAGGGTTTAGTGACGTTCTGTTTTGGAGGGTGTAAGGCTTTCAGTGCTAAAGATGTTTAGATAGTTTGGGGTTTCTTTGCCCTAAATCCTAAACCTCTCCGACCACATCTCAGGGACTGTAGGGTTGAAGCTTGAGAGAGCTGGGATCCTGTGACCTATTTGATTCGTTGCTTTCAGGTTAAGAGAGTTTCAGAAGGCTTCCGTAACTTCAAGTGAGCAATTGTGCATCGAAGGACGGGTCGGATGACCCAGCGGTCCAGGGTTTCGGGTTTAGGTGCTTCCGTGTTTTTCGTTGTCGCTGGTATTTCGAGATGTGTTGCAGGGTTGATAAGTTTTTCCAACTCGGACCCCCACAGAAGGCCTGGGCGATTGGCACGCCCTTCAACTCCCTAAAGATGGTCCAAATAATTAAAGCTCTAACCCTGAGCCCTAAACCCCTCAAGTCGGAGTCCTCAGCCAAAACACCGTCCTTAAAGCAGCTTCGGGTCCGAATCTTCAGTTCGCATGATCGTGATGTTAAAAGAAGAAGGTTACGAACTGCCATGATGGCTTCAAAATATGTGCCCTAACAGGTGTCCAGGGTGCTCGAAGGCGGAAATGGTCCGACTGGTGATCCTAACCCAAATGTGTTCTTTAGTCGAGGCTGAATCCTCCAGTGGGCTTTCAGGGATGAGGGAACCCATTAAGAGTTTAGGGAACCAGGGTTCTCAGAGTTCCCTCAGACACACGTTGGAACCGTCCAGCCCCAGCTTGCCGACCTCCTTACTCAAAACTGGACCCCTGGGAACTTCCAGCCTTTTCCCAAGAAAACACATCCCCATGGCTCTTGCAACACAGAAGCCTCCTACAACGCCTTACATGATAGTTGAAGGAATGAACCCCTAAACCCTGATCCCTAACCCTAAACCCTAAACCCCTAAGCCGCAATCATCCTAATCCTACCCTAAACCCTAAAGCCGAAACCTTAACCCCTAATCCCTAAACCCGAAACCCTAAAGCCCAAGCTCAAACACTTCTCAAGGCATCCGGGGCCCAGCTCTCTGTTCCCACAGTTCGCTCTGACCGGATCTTCTGGGCGCCGGCCTCGGCAGGGGTCGGGGCTCATGGGGTTTTGTAGGGTGTTTATGAGGTTGAGTAGGCTTTTATCTTGTTTTCCAGGTGATTATGGGTCTGAAGAGTTTAGTGTGTGCTATAGGGCTTCAGAGAGTTTAATGATGTTTAGGGCCTAGGGTGTAGGGTACTGTAGAGGGTTTAGTGTGTAGGGTGTTCAGCGTTTAAAGAGGTTGTAGGCATTGTTTGCTATATCCTAAACCCTAAACCCTTCCTCTTTGCAGGATCCTTACATTACGGAGTCCTGCCACCCAGGTGCTGTACGAGGAAAAGCTCACTCTATTTACCGTAGGGGTTTCAATAATTAGAATAGGGTTTTGGTGGTTCCTTAGTCTTGTAATTGTAGTATAGAATATGCCCCAACACCCTATTCCAACTATGAAGGCCCCTATGTTACCGAAACTCTCACACAGCTTCTTTCTTCTGACCGTCATGGCATCCCTTGGCGAAGGATTCATCCGCTTCTAGGGTTTGCGCATAGTTTTGAGCCTCAAGACACCAGAGCAACTGCGCGACTTTCACTGCAGCGGTCAGAAGACAACCAGCAACGTGCTTTAGACTAGCAGGCTCCGACTCTTAACCGCACGCGATTCCATCTCAGGGCAGCTCGTCACATAACGAAAAGACCCTCTGACATGAATGTCACTGCGAGGTCAGTGTGGTTCTCCTCGAGTAAACTGTGCTCGCCATGGCATCGAATTCCAGGTTGTCGTTTTTGAAGCCGACTTGCTTTGAAGCTGCACAACTCCCTTCAACATGTGGCCAGCCGTCAAGCCCCAAGATCGTGTTTCTCAACATGTGTATGGCATTGTAAATGGTTGGCCTATGCCGAAGCAGTCTTAACTTTTAAATTGCCAGAGCATCTCGCTCGAACTCGTATCAGATCGCAACTTAGCGCTTGCGACTGCGCCCGGACTTGGATCACAGACCCCCACGGCAAGGACTCGAACCCTGGGGCTCCAAGTAGCCTAGAGTAGGTACTACGATTGACGATATAAATCCTGCACTACCCGAAAGAAGCAATATACCAGAATCTACCAGAATTCCCATAGTCTAGCATCATTAAGGGATTGGTAGTTATAGACTATTACAGACGTTAGACCCCAAAGTAGGTACCATTTGCATAGAGCCCCAGGGTAAGGACTGGAGTTTGCACTTGTCCAGGGTAAAAGTTGGGACCCTTAATAAGGACCCCTTGGCATATGCCCTGAAAAAACGATTATATACCATTATATGGCCCATTGTAGGGTAGGGGTCCCCATTAGGCCGCCCACCTTCGATGGTGGGCGGCGCTCAAGCCCCTCGACATCGATGGCGCAGGTCGATCCAGGACGCTCGCCCTCCGTCCCACAGCCAGGGGTACTGTAGCATACCGGGACACGTTCTCCCCGGGACCAGTACTGGTCCTTACCCTTTCCCTGGAGCCCGAAAAATTGCGGGGGCGGAGCTGGTTTGGCCACCCCCCAAAAAGGGACCCTCGGGGGGGCTTGGAAGCTCCAGCGAGCAGAGTTCCACGACCTAGGGGCTTCCTGGCTGGTCCTAGGGGGGACTTGGACAAAAACTGTTTTTTTTGCCTTCCTGGTTGCCGCTGGCTGGCCTTTGGCCCTAGGGGGCCCCCCCTGGGCCCCGGCCCCCCTGGCCTCCCCCTGTCCCTTACCTCCTGCCGTACTCTGCCTTACTCTGCCCTGCCTTTTGGGAGCAGAAGCTTGGCTGCAGAATTGTGTGTTTGTTGTTAACCAAAATGGACCTAACAGAGTTTAGGTCCTAAACCCTAAAAGGTATAGGTTTGGGTGGTTTGCCGCCTCAGACGGCGTGGGGTGGGTGAGGGATGTGATGGCCCGCCACAGTCGGGCCAAGGCTGCAACTCGCAAGCAACCAAACGGCTAATAAATCTTGCAATCCATGTTGTACTACCGCTACGCAATCTTGCAGCAAACCCTAAACCCTAAACCCTAAAGCTTAAACCCTAAACCCTAAAGCCTGAACCTTAAACCCTTAACCCTAACCCTAAACCCTAAAGCTTAAACCCTAAACCCTAAAGCCTGAACCCTAAACCCTAAACCTTAAACCCTAAACCCTAAACCCACTTGGGTCCCAGGTTTGTGGCGAGCACCGAACGCCTGCTCGGGAGATGCTTTGGGACTCTGCAGGACTGCTCCGGGGGCCTCGACGATTACCTTAACCCTGAAAAACCTACCTTTTTAGGGTTCCCTATTCTGATTTCCTTATATAAGGCCTTCAAAGGTAGGTTCTTCAGGGTTAGGGCAGGGGTTAGGCCCAATGAAAACTGACCTTCTTAAGGAAGTATATACAGAAACCAGAATAAGGAAGGAACCCTAAAAGGATAGGTTTCTCCGGCCACGGGTGGGGGTCAGCTTAGGATGTTTAGGATTTAGGGTTTTGAGGGATTCTATTAGGGTTCAGGGCTTTGAGGGGTGCTTCAGGAGGTTATGCAGCTTTTAGCGTTTTTGTGGCTTGGGTGTCAGGCTTTTAGGTTTTTCGGGCTTTCAGGGTTTGGTCTCAGCTTTCGCGGGAGATGCCTTGGCAGTCTGATTGACAATTATGGCTTGATGGCCCAGTCGAAGCCTAGTGGCATTAGCGCACAGCATGGGTTTCCGCATCCCCATCGGTGTTAGGGACCAGATCTTTTCGCTCTCAGGCTCACAGAGAGATCATCCTACTAGTCATGCAACTGGGTTTCTGCGGTTTACCAATCTTGTAGAATGTCTGGGAGATGGAATGCGTAAAGGCTTTCGCGGAAACAGACTTCTTTTCCACCTCGAGGAAAGCAGCCCACCGTTGGACTGGCTCCTTGCCGCCCGGAGGTTGTCATGGACGCCTGGGCAGCTAAGGAATTCAGATCGGCATCAACAGTCTTTGATGGATCGAGGTGCAGCTGTTGTCGGGATTTTTGTATTTAGGGGCATGGGTTTAGAATTTACGGTATATGTGTGAGAAGGGGCCCCCACATAGTGGTATAATAGGAATATAATAGGGCCCTAATATAGTCCTTATAGTCACTACTACAGGGTGGGGGCCCCTTCTAAGGTGTGTGTGTGTGTGTGTGTGCGCTCAGGCCGATGGAGTTCGTCTCGTGTTCATTGTTGAAGATGTTTATTTACCACTGGACGCCATTCACCGTGGTTTTTATCTGCGCCCTCAGGAAACACACGTCTTTGAAACATATATATATATATATACACACACCTACTTAAAGGGTCATGGGACTTAGTAACTACCGTTGTAATCAAGGTAACTATACTTATAACCCCAATTCGGGCACTTATAACCTTACTTACTAAGTCCCATGATCCTCCAAGTATGTATCCTGCTACATAATAGTTGCGCAAACAAGATCAACATTACGGTAGGCCTGTGCCAAGGTCTCGATCCGAAGCTCTGGGCCACAAAAGCTCCACCCAACTTAGACCTTGACCCTGCCTGCACCCCGAATGACATAGCTTTTTAGGGTTCCCTAATATGATTTCTTTATATATATATGTCCGCACAAAAAGGTAGTAGTTTATTTGGAGTTAAGGTAGCCTCAAACTATGTTTAAAGTCCCCTTCATGAAATCCTGGAACGAAAACCCGAACCGCACCCTGAACCTAGAGACCCTCAACCCTACCTCCTGAAGACCGAGCCCCCGAACAAGCTGAGGAGAAGGCCACCCATGGCTTCCCACGGCTGCGCTCCACGATGAACCGTGTGGACAGCTCCCCTTTAGGGCTAGCCGCGTTTAGTGTGTAGGGCTTAGGTCTTGGGTCTGAGGGTGAGGTCTTGGCGTCAGATTGTAAGCTTAGAGGATAGAGGTCATTGGCAGGTCCGACCTCGTTCTGCAGATTCGAAAGAGGGCCATTGCACTTTAAAAAAAAAGAGGTCATTCGGGGACAGAGGGCTGAAATCCTGAACTCGTTTTGTCGTTGGATGCTAAGGCAGGCCTTGCAACTTGGGCGAAAAGCTGGCAATGAGAGGCCCCCTAGTTGATCCTACAGCATTAAACCCGCATCTGGCTTTCTGTGCGATAAAACCTAGCCCTAAGCCCGGAGGGTTTGGGCTTGAGGTCTTAACGTCGATTTTGCATTCTATGTGGTCTAAGCACCCTTCAATTCAATGCACAGCCGGTGTATGTTAACCTCAAAGCTTCAAGGATTTAGGGTTTAGGCTTCGCATGTTCAGGCTAAACACATGATCCTCATAAACCTAATACAGATGTCCGCGGGGTCTCTTATTTATGCATGGTTTAGCATATCGTATTCGCATCTGCAGGTGTTACGGAGCGAGGACCGATACAGAATGGACTGGATGCAGGAGCCATGGATTGTCAAACAACAGAAATTCCAACCCCTAGAACCCCTATAACCTTTACTTCTTATTGACAGTCAGGACGACTTCGTGCTCCACGGGCTTGCTCCCCAGCGGCAACAAGACCCAGACACAAGGTTTGGGACAATAGGATAAAGAGTCGTTGTTGAGATTTAGGATTCAGGGTTGGGAACAGAGAGTGTTCAACTTTTGTTTTTTTGATTTGGGCTGGCTGCTAAGATTTCAGGATTCAGGGTTTAGCCTCCACCCCCCGCCCCCGAAATTCAGACCCTAGCTCCTGAGAACTTTGTCTACAACAGTCTGCTGTAGGGGCCTTAACAATTACCTATGCTATTTTGGGGGTTCCACAATATGATGTTTATAGTACTATCGGCCCCAAAACCCTATTCTAATTATTGGTTAAGGCCCCTACATTATTTGTTGGGTTTAGTGCTTACACGGCTAAACCCTAAACCTATAGGGTATGCATGCGACAAGTTGATGTTGTAAGAGATACCATTGGGCTGCTCGGATTTGCTGCTTGGGATTCCGGAACCTGAAATCGTATGAGTACTGTGCCAGACTACCAGAGTGTGTGCATATGCCCTCGGTTTGTTGACGGTGACTCTAATCACATGAAGCATCCTCGTACTGTTGATGATATAAATCCTGCATTGCCTTAAGGACCCTAATCTATGGGAATTATGGTATACTCCTTATTACTATTGGTAATGCAGGATTTCTATCATCAACCGTATGGCAGCAAGCCCAATTTCCCAACAGCTCTTATCTCCACGGGCTCAGCCTGGCAAACCGCAAACCTGGAAGCCTTCAAATCCCCAACACCCAAGTCCCCAAAATGAACAAACCACTTAGACCCGCCCGCGAACAAAAACAAGGAAGAAGCAGACTGTAGAAACACAAAGACAGGGACCACCAATTGAAACAAGACCATTAGCCAGGAAACCACCTGGACCTAAACCCCTCTCCCTAAGCCCTATAGAACCCAAAACCCTGAAACCCTAAACCCACAAACCCCTAAATCCTTAGCGGCCCTAAGTGGTTTCGAAGACCCAAAGGCTCCATGTACCCATATAGTAGATACTTAGGCCTTAAAGGGGTTCCTATATAGCTACTTTTCGGCCTAAGTTTCTACTATAAGGGTACATGGAGCAAACCCCATAGATCCCTTTAAGGAACCCTATAGATCCCTTTCAGGAACCCCATAGATCCCTTTAAGGAGCCCTTTAACAGCCATTCGAAGATCCCAAGCCCAAGGCGAAGCATGTGGGCCGCCTTGCTGGTCTGGCGGAGCGCTCGGACGCCATGGCTCCTGGGGCTCTAAGCAGTTCTTTTTTTTGTTTTTGTGATGAGGGGGGGGCGAGTTTAGGGTTTAGGGTTTTTTAGTGTTTAGCGTGTAGGGTGTGATTGGGGGGAGTTTAGGGTTTATAGGGTCTGGAGTTTTTTAGGGGGAATTTAGTGTTAGGGTTTCTATGCTAGAGAGTTTTCAAGCTGCAGGGATGTTTGTGGTTTTGAGGTTTTGGGTCTTGGGATTTCGGGCACTTTGGATGTTTGTGAAGGCTTTTAAACCCTGGGACTGATATCGCAGGAACCCTGGACGCATATCCTTTCAAAAGCTTTCGTGTGGGCAGTTTGGGCTTTGAGCAGCGGCAAGATTCGAGCACGGCATAGGGTTTCGGGCATGGGCTTCGTTGTGCTGAGCATACACGCCTCTGTAGAGCAAGTTTTTTGGGTTCATCAGGGGGGCACTTGACAATTCTGGGCGCTTGCACCCGGAACATGCGCTCCGAAAAGGCATTTGCCACTAAGCAAACCTCCGCACAAGGCTCCTACAGCCCTACGTGTAGCTACCCGTGAACTTTAAGTATGGTTTCGATCTAAAGCTTGCATCGCCTTTCGTCTGCACAGCTCAAAGGATCTGCAGTTGCTTGGCTCGGTCGAAGGTGCAGAGCGTCCGACACTACTTGGATGTATTCTTGTGTCTCAAAGCTGTGATACAGGAGACTCAGGTGTGCGTAAGCTGGCAACCCGAACCCCAACCCACTAAACCCCAACCCGCTAAACCCCAACCCCATAATCCCTAAACCACAAATGTCCATCTGGGTGGGTTCTTGTGGCTCCATGCAGCCCTCAGTTTGGCTCTACCTTGGCTTCTAAGCATATCTCTTCATGCTTCAGGCCGAGATTGGGGCCACCGAAACTCTGGACAAGCCTTGAGCCCCATAGATTTCGAGTTCACCGGTTTGCGTTGCAGCGCGCCCGCCTGAGGTCAGCATCTACGAGCTTTGGCCGCAAGACTTCGGCGAGGGTTGCGCTTGGTTAATGGCCGGCGTATAGGGTTTGGGGTTGTCAATCCACCTTGTTGCCGAACCCCGGTACCCCAAGGCCGCAAAAGTGTACACCAGAACGAAGTCGGCTAACACAGTCAGGATTGCGGAGCAAGCGTTTGGAGTTCGAGAAGGGGAAGGGATTTGGGGTTTAGTATTTAGGATTTATATATGGGGTTTAGGGTTTAGGTTCGGACAGGGGAACAAGATGCCGGGAGGTCTACGATCCTGCAGCATCCATGCGGTTTCTGCACATGGGGTGTGCCATAGTTCGGCTTTCCAATCGACCCTTACGCAACCAAGTCAAAGGCATTGCCACAATAGATTTCCCAACCCCCCGGAACAAAGCTGGGTCAGTGTGTATAGGAACCCTTAAAGACTTCAAGGAACCGACATATTCTAACTATAATATTTAAAGCCTTACTATCATCATCCCGAATCGCACAGGAAGGAGGGGCGCGCTTTCAGAAGCACGTGGACAATCCGAACAAGGAGCCGTGAGCTGTCTGGAAGCGAGAAAAGCAGCGAGTTTATGGTTTTGTGTGTGGGGGGTTACTCGGAGGGTCAGAGGACTTAGTAAGTAGTAGGATTTTTAGGGCACATATAAGTCTACTTAGTACCTACTTGCTAGTCCCCAACCCTCCAAGTAGGGTCTAGGGTTAAGGGTCTGAGGGTCTGGGGTTTCGGGTTCAGGTATTGAGATAAACGGCCTCAGCACAGCAGTTGGGCCATGCCCTCCCCTCTTCAGGCCCTGTGTTTAGTAGGCACTGTCAAGTGACTTTGATATAAGATCTGGAAATCTGGCTGCAAAGCTTATGAAGTGAACATACACAGAGCATCAGCAATTTGATGCTATTTCTCATCGCCACAAAGAGGAACGAGGACTCCTAACCGGAAGCAGCAGATCCCAAAGCTCTAATCCGTCTCTGATTCCCTCGCAAAGCTCATCGGAAGCGCTACGCACATGACGATTTCACAGTCTTCCTCTACCCTGCGACACTATAACTCCAAACAGCGGCTGAACTGGAACCCCGGCACCATCGGCTGGTCTTACAGGACGGCCGGGTTCTGACGTCCATCGTCTCCCGTCGGCTATGTTGCTGGTTTTAGGGTTTTGGGCCTATAGTCTCCACGGTAGTGTTTTTAGTTTGGGTAAACCACTTTCTGGTTGGGATCCTACAGTGGCACAGCCAGGTAGCCAGAAGAGGCCCTACAAACCCTAACCCCTAAAGCCTAAACCCAAACCTAAACCCTAAGCCTACACCCTAAACCCAAACCCTACACCCCTAAACATAGGGGACGATGGGTCGGGTTGCAGTGTTTTGAACCGGATGTATCCGGAACAGCGTCCATGGCTGCTCTGAGCAGGATTTGAGAGACCAAAAGTCAACCAAAGTTGAGGCAGACTTGATAAAAACTTATACCCTAAAAAAATCCTTAAGAAGTTCCCTAAACCTTTTGTCAGCCCTTCAAAGCTCTAGGAATCAATCTGAACCCTACATGAGCCTCGAAAAACTCTAAGAATCAAGTAGATATGTTGCGATCTCTGGCTGGTCAGTCTCGCAGTGGTACCACTTGAGAAGGAGCAGCTTTCGGCGGCTGAGGGCTCCGGGCTTAAGGGTGCCACCGGGCAGCTGGTCCAGCCTGGCTTCTGTATCTCAGCCGTCATGTCATAACTCAAGAACCATACTTCAAGGTGCAATGGAGGAAGCAAGTGGCAAGAATTCCCCGATTCCAACTCTCACTGGCTTCCCACAAGCTGCGAAGAAGCGCGTGTGCCCGAAACCGTGTCTTCGTTTGTGCAGAAACCAGAGCATGCAACAGATAGGACCCGATCAATCGGCAACAGAATTCCCCAGCCCTAGCCCATGAAGCCAAGCACCAAAACCCTGACCCGCAAACCCAGCACTGGTCTAAAGCCACAAGAAATTCCGACTAAAGAATTGAATCATGCATGTGCATGCTGGAAAGCCACTGCCTAGAAACAAGAAAGTGCAAGTTCCACAGACAACAAAAAAGGTCTACTTGAACTCTGGCGAACCTTGGGGTGCAGACGACGGCGGCGAGCTGCGGATGTTCCCGGAAGGTGGGCTGCCCAACCTTTCTACCCCACGGTTCTTTGCGTACTATGCTGTAGCTTCAGGGCTTCAGGGTTCATGACCTTCGAGGTGTAGTAGGGTTTAGGGGTATAGGGCTGCCTGAAGGATCAGGGCACTTCACCGTCGTAGACTGTGTACACCACTGGTAGCCGGATGGCATTGAGCGGGGTCGGTCATGAAGTCCCGAGCCACAACCGCAACATCTCGAATCACAGGAGCCCTAAAGCCTGTCAGAAATCGAGCCAACTATATGATTCCTATTCTGGCGTTGGTGATGGCATTTAGGGCTCCTGGCGACTGTTGGTGGGTGTATATTTGGTGTGTCCTGTTGGCATGCTGGAGCAAAAACTTCATGCGAAGCTACCCTAAACCCTAAACTTCCGTCGTTGACTCTCTACCTACGAGCAGTGGAGAAAGTCAGCGCGCTTAAAAAAAAAACTTCCGTCGTGCTTGCAAGGTGAACCGCCCTTGGATTTCACTCCGGAGACGGGCCGGCTGGTGCTTTTCTGGGCAGATCGGCTACCGCACGAGGCCGGTAGCATGTAGGCTGGCGTCCCACAGAGCGCATCTGCCTGAATCAAGGGTATGCCTTAAGTTCGATATGAGGTGGTAGCGCTCTAAGTAGTGCAACTGCAAATGTAACTGCCAAAGGAGACTGGAGATAGGGAGTTGGGCTTTGCCTGCAATATCTTGGTAAGGTAATGCAAGGGCCTGAGTGATTTCAATATCTCTTTTGATGTATGGTATTGTAGTATCACACTCTCTCTCTCCCTCTCTCGCTCTCTCTCTCTCTCTCTCTCTCTCTCTCTCTCTCTCTCTCTCTCTCTCTCTCTCTCTCTCTCTCTATATATATATACATATACACATATAGGTGATATGAGGGTACCCTTTTGATTCCTCAGACCTCTAGAGCCCTCAGGGCTTCGTGATCGCGAGGTGGCATTTGCTTTGATGTAAGGGGTCCGAAGACTTAGTACGTAGGTCATATGCCATACTAAACCCTAAACCCTAAACCCCTGTTGATGATATAAATCCTGCATTACCTTAAGGACCCTAAACTATGAAAATTATGGTATATTTCTTATTATGGGTAATGCAGGATTTATATCATCGACCGTAGGGTAGGGTTGTAAGTAGTAAGAGAAGCCCCGTCAAGTTGTTGGATCCTGGCTACTTCTTTTCAGCTACTTGCACGAGTCTCCACAGGCTTCGAATCATGTGGGTGCTTGTTCAGCTTGGTGTTTCATTACACATTACACCCGATCATCGCGAGGTGCTGCCTGCAAAGCGGCGCCGGATGGCTTTGACATATTGGTTTCTCGGCACGGCAAGTTTGAAAAAGGGCTCAGAGACAAGAGAAGGCTGCAGGCAGACGGAGGGCGGGCCCAAGTCGGTGCATATAAGGGGTTCAGGGTAAGGATCAAGGACGTTGTGCAGTACACAAGTTTCAACATCGTGCTGCTCTCCTTTACAGCTTTCACTCTGCTTGCTGTCGTGAAGGGCGTGAACATGTTCTCAACCAGAACGCCTGCAAGCAAAGCTGCTGGCTAGTTCGAGTTCTTTTCGACGGCTCTGTCTATGTGCTTGCTTCTGTCACAAAGGCAGTTTACAACCATTCCGAAGATTAAACCCTTGAGCCCTGAAGTCCAACAAAAGGGCAGTGCTCCCGGCACTGCTTGTAACTTCCCATGTCTGACGTGGGGGTTGCACATGGAGAGGTTCCTTTCGTTCGGGGTCATTCCAACGAGGATCCTGCTATCTGCCATGCGAGTCAACAAATCGCAACACAAACACACGCACAAGGAACGTTACAATCATAAACATGCATATATAAGGCCTCCATGACAGAGTCTCAGGACTCTGAACCCCAAGGGCCATATGTATTCAACATTGATGAGGATCACACGGTTTAGACTCTAAACCCCAAGGCGCTGAGGGACTGAACGAACTTAGGTGGTTCGACCGTGCCGAACGTGAAGCCAAAGTGCAAGAGCTTGCGGATGAGGCACGGCACGGCCAGAGTTCGGGGCAAGAGCACCCAGTACGCAGAGAAAGCATGCAATCAGGGCCCCTACTTGCAAGATCCTTGTGTAAAATACATAGCTTACAGCCGGTTTTGCATCCTACTTACCTTGTCCGACGACTCTCCCAGTACACAGACCGTGAACCCTTGCTTGATCCGTTGGCTCCTCTCCTATATACAATAGTTATCCTCGGCTACTACCACTGCCCGAGGCCCAATTACCTATATAGTTATCAACTGCTTTAAACCCTCAGAAGCCCCTAGAAACCTCATGTATTTTTCCAAGCCCGAGAACCCTTATGGTGAATGATAAGCAGTCGGAGCCGTCTCTTGCCGTCAGTGTTGCAGGCTTGCCATACGTGGGTACCACTCAAATTCTCGAGCAAACCCTACACTACACCCCTGGAGCCGTACCCTGTAAATCCCTAGACCCTACCCTAAACCCTAAACCCTACACTCTGCATGCACAAGAAGAAAAATCAACCCCAAAATTCCACAAACACCCCTTCGACCCTGAGATCTTAAAGCTCAATCGCTAAGACTGCGATACAGAGGCCGCAAATGCCTAACGACCTGGGGTTTTTGAGTATTGTCATTCGATATGATCCCGCTTCAACATTCATTCGAGTCAGTAAGGCTCCGAAGTCATAGAACCCTGAATTAAGTAACTCTTACAGAACCCTCTTAAGCGACCCGGTTAAAGGAACCCTATATGCAATGTCAGAGGTTGGGAACCAGCACCTGAAGGTCTCTGAGGAAAGCATGGCTCAGGATCGGAATCCGGCGGTTTAAGGCTACAGTAGGGGCCTTAACCCGGGTTCTTGAAACGTTCATAAGGGTTATATACCAAGTTATTGCAGGGGCCATATGGGGATTCTATGGCAAATGGGATCTTGAATATTGCGTTTCAGGACATGTTGTACTTACTTCAGTTCTCTTGTGAAAGGAACCTATATGGAAACCTGCTGCGCGCATGCAGACTTGGGGTTCATGGCTTTGGAAGCTGAGGGTGCTGGGGGTTTCGTGGCCTGGGATTTCCAAAACCACATGAGCCTGGTTACTGGTGACTATCCAGAGATTCTTGCCAAGTCTGGGGATGTTTCGAGACATATCCGCAACCCGTAAACGTAAATCCAACGTCTTGATCATCTGTTTTGCCCAAGCAACCCAAACCTACGTTCGCCTTTGTTTGTTCACATCCGTCCGCTGTCATCAAGCCCGCTCGAAATTCAAATTGGTTCAACAGTTGGATGTAGGATCATCATCTTCATGCGCTCATGCTGAGGTAAACCCTGGTATGCGTGAAGCCCAGAATACCCCCGAAATGAACCCCTTCAACTTTACAATCCGGAGACCCGGAACCCTGAACTTGACCTCTCCTGGTGATTATCTGGTATAAAAAGCCCTAAACCCTAAAGCCCTTGAAAAAAAAAGAACTAGGCCCTAAAGTATATCCCTTGCATCAGTCATTTACGGTTTAGGGTTTACAGTAGAAGCCAGAAAGTTGGAATATGATTATCCTAAGCCCTTTATGGTAAATTATAAGGTATCCTACCCTGAAGCCATATTCCAACTTTCTGGAGTTCCCTTTAGGGCTTTTTTGAACCCAGTGCTAAGCTCCAAGAGCATGGCAGGACTTCATTGCCTTCATGCTCAGTGCCTTGCCTCTTTGGTGCTTGTGGTTATCGATACCTACGGTTGATGATCAAATCCTGCATTACCTTAAGGACCCTAAACTATGGGAATTATGGGATATTCCTTATTATGGGTAATGCAGGATTTATATCATCAACCGTACGGCCATCGTTGGACTGCTTGCTGCTAGTAGGCTTTTTTTCGACGGCCCGTGGCCGAGCTCTATACTTCTTTGCATATGCGGTCTATGTAGAAAGAGTTGACCCTGTCGGGGGGACTTGCTGGAGGCAGAGAGTCCACAGGGGTTCCTAACATGTGAATGTCATTAGTATAGGTAGATAGAGACTGAAAGCGATTGGTGACTATAGATGATCAATACAACAGTCCCACGCACCCCCCCCACCCCCGAAACCCTAAACCCTTCAAGCCTAAACCCTAAAGCAAGCTCTGAACGCTCGACATCATGTAGCTTCTTTCAGGATTGAGTCGGGAGCTTTGGCGGCCCTGTCGATGGCTGAAGAACAGACGTTTAGGGTTTAGGGCCCAATCCCAAAGTCATTGAAGCACGACCCCAACCCCACTGTTAAACCGAACGGATGTTTAAACTTGCCGTATGTATTTGATCAGTGATGCAATAACTTGGTTATTGTACATAAGGCAAAGCCAGAAGGTTCAAGCATCGTGACTGGGGCTATCAAAAAGTGAAATCGCAACTTGCTTGTAATCTCACCTGTAGCTTTGCTTACCATGTCCACGTGGTCCTTCAAATCGTCGTTCGCCTGCAAGCCCGTAAACCCCAAACTTGTAAACCCTAAACCCCAACCGTGCAGCCCCGAGGTGACACATCGTCCCCGGCTGAAATTGTCCGCAAAGCGCACAAGCTTCCCGAGAAGGCTCTGTCCACTGTGGCCACAGTTGCTCCTTGGCGGCTTTTACGCCCAGAATCGGAAATTAGGGTTGGTCTAGGGTTCTAGGGCTTGTTGAAACTCTGCGGTTAGGTGCAACTTACCTTTGGTTGGTAGGGAATGAAGGAATGGGGTACAATTATAGCTACTATCACTACCATTCTTCCATTCTTCCATTCCCTACTAACCAAAGGTTGGAAACGGTTAGAGGTTGCCGGCCGTGTCTTCTTTTTTTTGTGGACTCGGGGCTTAGAGGCCACAGCTCTCAAGTTCTTCAAGGTTTCAATGCAGCTAATATAGGGGCCTTAATATTTACTTGGACTATTTTGGTGGTTCCTGATTATAAATATAATGCAATGGGCCCCAAAACCCTATTCTAATTCTTGAGGTCCCTATAATGGGATGTTCTAGTCCGGGGTTCACGAGTTGACGGCTTTGGGGCTTGAGAACCAGGCATGCAACCAGCCAAGGCATGAACCTCACCCCAAGGGTCCCAAGGACCCAATAATTAGGTATTCGGTTTTAGGATAATAATTGTGTAGGTTATGATTTTGGGGAGTATATGACAATTGGGTACTTGGACCCTTGGGGTCATGAGCCATCTTCCCAAAGAAGGCCAAGATTCCTTAATCGATGAATGGAGAGGCCGAAAAGTTGAGGAACATCACTGAATCACGGCTTGTCATCTGGTCTCTCTAAAGCCCTAAAGCCATAAAGCCCCCGAAACCCACAGCCTAGACCATGAACACCCTGCAAGTCGTCAAACGCGGGCATCTACACGACTATTCCAATAGTCAAAATTAGGGTACTGTTTTGGGAACCCTAAATACTAGGTGCCGTATTATAATAGGGACCCAAAAAGGTACCATTTGGGTGGTTGTCAAAATCAGGGTACTTTTCTTGAGTACCCTAAATACTAGGTGCCGTATTAGAACAGGGACCCAAAAAGGTACCATTTGGGTGGTTGTCAAAAGCAGGGTACTTTTTTTGAGTACCCTAAATACTAGGTGCCGTATTAGAATAGGGACCCAAAAAGGTACCATTTGGGTGGTTGTCAAAAGCAGGGTACTTTTTTTGAGTACCCTAAATACTAGGTGCCGTATTAGAATAGGGACCCAAAAAGGTACCATTTGGGTGGTTGTCAAAAGCAGGGTACTTTTTTTGAGTACCCTAAATACTAGGTGCCGTATTAGAATAGGGACCCAAAAAGGTACCGTTTGGGTGGTTGTCAAAAGCAGGGTACTTTTTTGAGTACCCTAAATACTAGGTGCCGTATTAGAATAGGGACCCAAAAAGGTACCATTTGGGTGGTTGTCAAAAGCAGGGTACTTTTTTTGAGTACCCTAAATACTAGGTGCCGTAGTAGAATAGGGACCCAAAAAGGTACCATTTGGGTGGTTGTCAAAAGCAGGGTACTTTTTTTGAGTACCCTAAATACTAGGTGCCGTATTAGAATAGGGACCCAAAAAGGGATCCTAGTTTTGACAAGCACCCCATTCAGTCCCACCGAGGTCGGCGCGTCAGATGCCCAGGAGCCTCCCCGGGTGCAAGTAGTTCTTACATCATTGCTAGGCAGAAGAGCCTGGGAGACCTCGGGATCTATAAGGGTTCCTTTAAAGGGATCTATAAGGGTTCCTTCAAAGGGATCTATAAGGGTTCCTTTAAAGGGATCTATAAGGGATCATTGCTAGGCAGAAGGCCTGGGAGACCTCATTATTTCTGAAACCTTCCTCAAATATGGGGGGGGTATTGAGCTCAGTGGGCTTTGAAGAGATGCTCCAGAAACAAGAACAAAGATTCTGAGCTTGGTTTTTGTATACCCCGGAAGACCATCGTCATCATCATCAGCCTCAGCCTCATCACCATCTTGTCATCGTCAGCATTAGCGTTATCATCCTTGACGGGACCAAACTCCCAGCCTCAAGCCTTCAATTAAATTCGAATTTTGTATCTCCATAGAAGCCTTGAGCCTGCCTTGAAAGCCATCAATATAGGCTTGAAGAATTAAGCACTGACCCATAAACCCTGAACCTTCGTCCTATCATCAAGCCTACCTGCCACGAGGAAGACCCGCGTTGTAAACTATGATTAGTCTTGACGTTTCATTATTAACATGCCATAGCATACTTGTTCGTAGGCCCCCGAAGACTGCATACAAGTGCTCGCAACAGGACACTCTGAAGATGTAGGTTCTAGCAACTTACTGCATGAGGCTGTGAAGGCATAGGCCTCAAAGTCCTACTGCAGGGCCCAAATAGTTGCCAATATTAGTTTGGGGGCTCCTTCTTAAAATTATAGCATAATATGCCAAAGAAAGCCCTGTTCTAATTATTAAGGCCCGTATATTAGACGCAGGAAGCGCTGGAGGGTATCGGGCGGCTCAAAGACTCCGACCTCGCCCGACTGCGCGGCTCCATGGGCAAGATGGGGCTGCGGTAGCCCTAGAGGTTCCAGCTTCGGATGATCCTGCGTGCCTTTGATCTGAATCCGGAACTAAGCGCAAATATCGACAAACCTTGTACCCTGAGCCGTAAACCTTAAACCCTTCAGGTAAGTAACTACTGCGGAAGCAGTCGGAGGAAGGAGTACAAAAAGTGAACTTAAAGCCCACAAGCTTGAAGCCTTCAGGCTCAGTCCGCCAAACCCTAAAGGCTGTGCCCAGAGGAAAACCTCGATCTGGGCTTCTAGAAATCAAGGGATACCTTACGCCTATAATATGTCTAGGATTACACAACTGTCGCAGGGTGTGCACAGGCTTTGGGTCATGTTTAGGTGGCAGCGGCAGGATTCAAGGATTTTTGGAGGCTTCGGGCCGTGAATAGGGTCCAGGATCTTAGAGTTGATAGGTGCTTTGGCGTCATTCAGGTGTTTGATTTAGAGCCTATTTGGTGATTGCGGGGGCTCTGAAGGATGTTTGGGCTGGATATCTGCAGCAGCCTATCGAATTTCTTGGAATCCCTTGCACAAATCCTTTTGAGACTCTGGGAGACCCTTGCACAGGTCACAATTCCACGGTTTTGTTGCGCTCAGAACTGGCATGGGGTTGGAGTTTCGCGTCCGCTCAGGCTTGAGAAGGATCATGGGATCTAGTAGGCGGGTTAGAACTGCCACAAATACACTTACACGTAGCTTGTTTCGTCGTTTACTTATGACATTATCTTATTTGTCCCGCTACGAAGTCCCCAGATCGAGAAGGTAGGCTCCAAACTCTAAACCAACAAAACCCATACATCCTAGTCGGCCTTAATTCCGAAACCCCAACTAGCCCTAAACCTTGAGCCCTAAGCCTAATCCCTAACCCTATAAGCTCCAAACCCGAAACTCTGTAGGCAGAACCCAATAGGGATCACCGCCCCGTTGCGTTCGCTTAGCCTCTGACCCGCCACAAGAGCGGAGCGGATGAAGAGTTAAAAGCTCAGGGTTCAGAGTTTACCCAAAGGGTCCGAGAGAACTACCTAGGGTAGGGCTCAGGGTTTGAGGTTTAGGGTTTGGGGCTTGGAGCTCTGGGGGTCTAGGCAGTTGTTGGTTTCAGGATTGCAGGTTCGGCTGCAAGGTTGAGTACACGCTTGTATAGGGTGAACGCGGGGTTTCTGCTGGGAGGCCGAGTCCTCTTTCTCACCACTTCCGCTAGTGAGATAGCTCGTCGTCCACTCCGGGAGAATTTTGGTTTGTAAAGATTGGCTTTGAAAAGGGTCTGTTGCAGGACCACCATTTCCTTGAACCAGCCTGAACCACCAGAACTCCAGTCATTCATGGAATGTATGCAGATCACGCAGTGCTGAATGCTTTTTGTTTAGGGGCCAACATATATTCGGAACCTTCTTATTAACCTTGTTAAGCGAGGGGCGTTCACAAGTTGTAGTATGCTTGTTTACTATCATTTCGAACTATTGTAGCTCTTACATTAACTTACGAAAGCCTGGAGCACCACTCCTTCAACCTTCAACACAAGCAGGAGTGCAAGTGACCTTAGGCTCAAACCCTAACTACGGAAACAAAGGCTTGTTATCTAGCTCAGCCCTCGAACTCTACGTGCCCTGTCGCCCTGACATAAATCACGGGCACTCAAACACGTCAAAACGGGAGCGAAAGCATGCAAACAGAACACAACAGCATAGCTCAACAAGAAGCACGACCAAGGACAACACCTTATAACACGTGTATGTGTACATTTAAACATAAATACATGTAAATATAAGGGTAAATATGCATGAATACATGTATAACCATGTGTATATGTATGTAGCTTGCACATGCATCCTATGTTTATACTTATACATGGATAGAGAGATAACAGATATAATATTTACATACATACATACATACATACATGCATGTACATACTGCAAACAAATGCACAACTTTACCTCATGCTTGAGCAGGTCGAAGATCTCACGCTGCTCTTGCAGGAGGTTCTCGAGGTTGCCCCAAGGGTCCAAAGGACCCAAAAATTAGGTATCCGGTTTTAGGATAGTAGTTATCCAAAGGACCCAAAAATTAGGTGTCCGGTTTTAGGATAATGGTGATGTTATGTAGGTTATAATTTTGGAGAGTATATTGACTATTGGGTACTAGGAGCCTTGGGGTTGGTTTTGGGGCCGATACCCTAACGGTCCGGAGCTCCGTTTAGGGTTCAGGGTTTTTAGGGTTTAGGGACAACCATGGGGTCCAAGGTACAATATAGATTTAATTCGGGGCTCTGTGAAGCTTCCACAAGGCTCTTGTAGAAGGTGTTCAGCGTTCAAAGTGCCTAGGGTGCTTGGGTTTGGAGTGGTAGTAGATGCAGGTCAGTATTTAAGGCACGGCCGTTTTGAAATGTCTTGTGGAGTCCATTTCACAAGGTTTTTGATTTGGGATGTCTGGATTTGGTTTAGGGGTTGGTTTAGGGCTTCTGTTTTTTTCAGATCTTTTGGACTTCGAGATTCAGGGTTGGGTTTCAGAGCTTGGTGTTTGTGATAGGTGTTTTTCCACGGATTTTGAGATGTTTTTTTTGGGTCGCCCTAAACCCTACAACCTAAACCCCTAAACCATAGCTCTGAATACAGGAACGTCCCTACACCCTAGATCTGCATCCTTAACTTAACCAAATTTCTAGAACCTCCCTTTAAACGCTTTGAGGCCTTGAATTCTTATTTAGCTTCTATAAAGCCCTTGAGAAGCCCCAACCATTCTGGTTCGCCTGGAAAGTTTGGAATTTCCTTCCGGGTGCAGGCATACCCCGACGTGAATGCGGTGAGCTGTGGGGCCATTCTGAGCCGGTTGCCCCGGAGTTCTTACAGATCCCAGAGTCGGGGGTGTCGGATTTCGATTGGGATGTCTACAAGTGTCATTGAAGGGGTGTTTGTGATTAACTGTTTGGCAGGATGCAAAGAATGGGGTTTGGGATTGCGGTGAAGTTTGCATGGCGGTTCCAGCCCCAGGTCTTGCAAATGGGGATGAAGACCTGAAATTGGATGGTTCCCGAAATTCTAAACCCTAAACCCCCCTAAACCCTAAACCGAAATGCCTAGATGAGCTGCAAATATCCAAGATGGGACTCGACAACGTGTGGCGCAGCTGCCACACTGAAGCTGCAGCCAATGTTTAGGCCTTGAGCCGTATGCGGCCCTTTAAACCTTCATAGGCTCTATGCCGGCAAATCCGTGAGACCCTTCTTGCCTTTCCCTAAACTCGAAACCCTTACAACTTACAGCGCTCAATCTTGATGACGGCTTTCTTTTCCATGTTTTATTTCGTTCCTGGGGAAGGTTCTTGAGGTCTTCGCTTTTTCCACACAGACGGGAGGCGAGGCTTTTATGAGGCTTCTATTCTATAAAGCCTTATACAAACTTACAGGGGCTTATGGGGTTTTGTGGGATTTGGAGGACAATGCTTCAACAACTTTCACAAGAAAGAACGAGGTCGGGAGTGGTATCAGCTTTAAGTTTTTCACCTCTGGCGACGTGGTCTCGAAATGTTATCAAGGTTCAGGGAGTAATGTTTTTCTGTTCGCACCGAAGCCGATAATTATTATGTTGCCTTTACATGATACAACATGTCTGGAGGAACCATTTCGCTAACCTGGGTCGCCCCACAGAGATGTCTTGCTCAGGCGACTACCAGCGCTGCCGCGCGCGGCCCCTGGCTTTAGAGCTTGGGTCTTCGGTTTTTCAGGTTCGGGGTTTGAGACTCCGTTTTGGACTGGCAGCGCTGCCTAACACGCGGATTAGAGGCGCAAGGCCATGACACCAGCTTCGGGCCCCTCTCTTTGGGATGGCGTGTGTGCTTCCGGTTCGGGTTTTAGGGTTTAGGCTTGATTAGGGTTCGAGGTTTCGGGTTTGCGGTAACATCGGTCGTTCCTTGGGCAGACATGCTCCTGCAAGAATTCGAGCTGCGCGCCGAGCAATTAAGCAACCAACCAGCGAGCTGGCTTCTGAAGCAGAAGAAGGGCGACAGCAGGGTCTGTTGGAGAGACGACAGTTGCAACAGATGCATCCTGCAATGAGTTTGAAAGCTCCGGTTGCTGGGTCTTTTCCGAGGTTTGGGGTCTTCAGGGTTGTCTGATTCTGTCACGGACGGTCTGAGTGATTATGTGCATTCTGGCATGTCCACCCTCCGGGTGCAGGGTTTTGCCCGCGGGCGTTTTTTCCTTGCGCCCTGTACCCGGTTGTATCTTTTGAGCTAAACTTTCAGGTTTAGGACAGAGAAGAGCCCTTTAAATGAGACATTAACAGGGTGGCGGTATTTGTTCGGTATTTTTTCAGTTTTTTTTTGTATTTTTTCCGGTCTCCTGCCCAAGCAAGCAAGCAAGCAAGCAAGCAAGCAAGCAAGCAAGCAAGGAGGGCAGGAAGCAAGCAAGCAAGCAAGGAAGGCACGAAGCAAGCAAGCAAGCCAGGAAGCGAGCAAGCAAGGAAGGAAGCAAAGGCAAGCAAGCAAGCAAGCAAGCCAGGAAGCGAGCAAGCAAGCAAGCCGGCAAGAAAGGAAGCAAGCAAGCAGGCAAGGAAGCGAGGAAGCGAGGAACCGAGGAAGCGAGGAAGCAAGCACGGAAGCGAGGAAGCGAGGAAGCAAGCAAGCAAGGAAGGAAGGAAGGAAGGAAGCAAAGGCAAGCAAGTAAGCAAGCAAGTAAGCAAGCAAGTAAGCAAGCAAGAATGGAAGCAAGGAAGAAAGGAAGCAAAAGCAAGCAAGCAAGCAAGCAAGCAAAGAAGTTAGCAGGCAAAGAAGGAAGCAAGGAAGGAATCGAGGAAGGAAGCAAGCAACCAAGCTTCGCAGCGCATGCCTGTAGAGCAGAAGCATCAGAAGCGAATCTGCAGACTGTGATATACATATATATATATATATATATATATATATATATATATATATATATATATATATATACATGTATACATATTATTTGCATATCGACACATACAAACAGACACACACACACACACACATACGCATACACACACACACACACA